TTTGATTTGATTTGATTTGATTTATTCTTTCAAGCATATAAAACAGTTGATATAACAACACACATTTTTACACACAATCCAATATCAATTTGCTTATACCTAGTACATGCTTGAATGGAGTAGGAAGAAGTCAGACTTATCCAGTCCTACCCCATGACATCATCTTACCATCATTGGTTTGCAAGCAGTAAATGATTCTCTTCTACACCACACAAGTATTATACTAAAAAAATTATAACAGTGTTACATAATTACATTCTTAAATAATTATCTTCTACACAAGTTGATGCTACAGTTAATGTGGTTTAAACTGTGGGTCAGTCCTCACAAAGAGAAGACAACAGAAGTGTGTGTCTGCGTGTGTGTGTGCACAGAGGATGATGTTGCATGTGTCACTTCCAGTTATCTATTCCGTCATACAACAGAATTGTGACAGAGTTTGATGAGGTGTGTAAACTTCGGGCAGCCCTGACCTCCACAGTGCTGCTGGAGGAGGAGTCTGCTGCATTAAAAAGCTGCTCCTTCTTTAGTGAAAAACAGATTTAGAGCGCAGTCTTATAAAGGAAGGAACTCCCTCTCATGCCTTGTGCATCTCAAAGTTTGACAAGTGGACTGTCTTTTATTCACTTGGGGGCATTTTAAATTAATTTCCCTTAGGCTTACGAGACCGCACAACTGCACAACTTTCTTCCTTATTTTCCCTCAGCTAAACAGCATAGTCTTCTAAGATGACCTGGAGGGTGAGCAGTTGTTTTGTCACTCTGGCCGTCCTGTTTCTTTGGCGAGTGGAAGAAGTAGCAGAAGCCTGTAGCTGCGCCCCAGCACATCCTCAGCAAATGGTTTGCAGCGCAGATGTTGGTAAGTTGATTTAAAGGCTAAAAATGAATGAATAGAAAACAGGATTTAGACAGATCTTGTAAATACTGAGAGGCTAAATGTTGCTAACTTGCTCTACTCTAATGTTTACACTCACAGGGAAGAGGAGGGTGGAATGCTCTCTATTTCCCCTGCCCTCCTTTTTCCTCTCTCTCTTTTATCTTGATACATTTCAGCATCAATATAGCATACTTCAGACATTTTATATCCTTTTTACACTACAGTCATCTTCGTGAGTAAACTATAATAAGAATCATACAAAGGGTTCATTTCCTCCTATTTAATTCACTCTTACTCAAAGGCCATGAGGATAGTTTCCCTCTTATTTTACATATTACAAATCACTGGTTGTTGCTGCCTTCAACATAGGCCTTAAACTAACAAGAGTCTCAACAGGGAGCAGCTTGTGTAGCTATTTAATTTGGGGTTTGCTGAGGGTCTTTTTTCTTGGTTGTGAGCTGGCTGACTGTGCGGTATGTACACAGAAGCCGACTTAATCAAAGGTTTCTTTTTGGAGTCCATGGCACTGGAGGGCGAAGAAACCACATTATTCTGGTGGAGGGATTTTTAACGGAAAATCTCATTTATTTTGTTATGATTGCTTTATTCTTCTTCACTGACATCATTTTAAAATTGTCACTTCTAAATTATAGACAGCAGACAATGCTCATGTAAGACAGAGTGGAGGAAGTCAGAAAATCCAGTAGGTTTATTTATTGTTACAATTAATTTGACGTTATCAGGTTGTCATTATCATTAACATTCTTAGTGTTATTTTGTACGTGCTTCACAATATAAAGTGAAGCATTTGAAGTCAGTTCTTGATGCACTTTTAGTCAGGTAGTGGGCGCAGGGCTCGGAGTCTGTGGACTAATATTCATCTTTCAGACTGATTGACTTCATCACAGTCTCTAATGTCACCCTGACCCCACCGCTGCTGGTTCAGCACCATGGATAGACCCCCCCCTACCACCATAAACCAACATTTTGTTAAAAGGATCAGCCTGCATCATAGCCATATGAAACTGTCATTTAGGGGGCAGCTAAAGCATATCAGGCATTGAAAGAGTTCACAAAATTTTATGGCACATTTGTGAATTTTGTCAACTCAAAAGCAAGACGCTGTGGAGAAACGTGAATTTGTGATTTCAGTGGCATGTAAAGTCACTGGCTGCTGCACAGGCAATGAATAAGCAGCTGACTTTGTACAGTTGAGCTGGCACAGTCAAAATGAAGTTCATTATCTTCCATAGGTAGCATCACCTTAACTCCTTATGCTTTCTTTGTAGCTTAACTGAACGTGTTGATCTTACATTCTGGTCTATTCTCTGAAGTGTGGGGGATGGTCATTTATTATATAATACAATATTTGGATGGTATTGCTTTGCCTGTGCTGCACAGTGAAACATTGCCTTGGGAAGCTTCTACTTAGCGTGAGACAGTTTACTGAAGTGAAACTATTTCTTAAGTTAGTGTCAGGAGTTCACAACAAATTACTCAAGAACAAGGGCAACTGGCAAACTTAGTGTCAGTGGTTCATGCTTTATATTAGGAAGAACAGTCAAAAACTACACATTATTGTCAAATCATTGCAACACTGGGCCACTTGCAAAGTCAGTTTTGATAAAGATCAGTTGTATTTAATCTCATTGTGCAGGCAAAGTCAAGATACAACAGCAGCAGTCAAACCAGAGACTTTGAAACATAGTAATGGAAAGTTTGAGCAGCAGAGTAGAACCATTAATCTAAAGCAGACTCAAGTTTTCATTGGTTACTGTCCACCTTTACTTTTTTTTTTTTTACTTTATTTTACTAGAGCTTCTTTCATTTCTTTCTCCATTCCAGTAAACAACAAGAAAAAAACAGGTCAGCTTTTGCTGTGAGCATGCCGTTCCATTTATCTTGTCAAAACAGACAATAAAAATCCTCATAAATTAAATTGCATCCCGCGGGTCTTTGGCTGAGTCAGAGGAATGCTGGACAGTCATATGCTGTGCTCTTTATGTATTTATTTAAAACATTCCTGGCGAACACGTGGTGTACCTGAGCTCCTTCTGGGAAAAGGGAAAGTGAATCATCTCAGGACAGCTGGCCTTAATGTGACTTCCGGTTTAACATTGCAAGCTGTGTAAACAGAGCTGACACTGAAACCAGATTTCCCTGCTTTGAGGCAGCGGGTGCTTTAAATGCTAGAGTCACTGATGATATTGCATTGGATTGATCTGTTTAGCAGGTTCAGTGTGCTCACTGAAACAAAAATCTATTGTAATTTAAAGCAAAACAACTCCCCTTCGGAAAACAACATTTTTACATTGGCCTCTCATGTGCAGTCCATTAAAAAAGTGTAAGAAAAAACATTAAAATGTCAACTAAAACATATAATTTGGGTGCCTGAAAGACAAACTATTAGCATAGTTAGGTAGTGATGGGAAGATGACAAAGGGATTAAACATTATAAAATACCATGTATAATTTATAAGAAAAGAAAAGAATCATGGTGGATTCGTCCGTTTATCCTTGGAGAGGATCAGCACAGAAGTCAGTTTGAATTTGTAGTTTAATTTTTCTAATTCAAAGTGTGACCACTTTGCGGCTTCTCTGAGAGTAAAATGGATATACAGGCCCTGTAATTACATGACATGCATTGACTTTTGTCTCTTTTTGACTTTGTTTTTAAAACACTCCCATGGCCACAGTACTACACCCAGAATCATGTGTTTATTGTTTGAGTAACCAGAAAATTAGATGGTTCCCTCAGTTCCTGGTTTTGTGATACTTGTGATTTTTTTGGGGGGGGCTTGGTCAGCCTGTTCCAGTAAACATAATCATGTATATGCTGCACATCAGGGCAGAAAATTAAGTCACTTTTCTAAATGTCTTCAACTAGATGAGGACACTGTGTCAACATGTGCTTCAGGCAAGTTGGGAGCTCCTGTGGGATATTACGGATTATTGTTTCAATTGCCAGAATGTAGATATTCTACAAATAATGAATGAGAGAAATGCATATAGCATTAATTAGCATCTCCTTAGTATGATTTGTCCATTTTAGCATGTTTAGCATAACATAAATAGTCAACTCTGCCCCTCGCAAAGTTGTTGTTAAGGGCCACATGTTCAAATTATAGGCAGTGCTGTCGTTTACATCAGCCACATATTTCACTGTTTTCACATGCTGTCTATATTTCCATCTATCCTACTTTACTCTGGTAGAAGGAGGAGTGATCTATTCGTGATTCTGCACTCTCTGGCAAAAGAGATTACTTCTAATCCACTTTACAGGCAGAGAATTTGAAGACTTTCTCGGTGCATGTCAGCTTGTGTGAAGGAGTCTGTGATTTCTAAACCAAAAACATTGTGACTGGTGTATATCACTAGGCACAGTTTGTCATTCTAAACTTGTATTTGCTTGTTTGTCAGTATATCTGTTACTTCACAGCAGCTCTGCAGCACACAGGAAAGCTTGCGGACTCTACGGCTTAGTGTTGTGCACATTTTCCTGGCTACAGACTAAATCTCGCCCCTCTCGCTCATGCTCTCCCTGTTTACTCTATAACAGCAGTGCGATACTTTGAAGAGCTGTCTTCTCCCCGTATACACAGGGCACTGTGGCTGCTATTCCTGTCTGTTCTCTCCTCTGTTTCCCTGCTTGCAGAATGTAACCATCCTAATCACTCCATCGCTCTCTCTGTATGTCCACACACTCTGCTTTCTTCCTGTTTTCTTTCCATTAAGGGTTGGTTTTTTTAGACCCTTAAAAGGACATGTTCTCTAAGCCTTCGTTGTCAACAAATTAGAGCACATGTGGCTCACAGCTTCATATCTTCATCACATTAAAGGGCTAGATCTTATTGGGTACGGAAGTGGGCAGTATGCTGAGGCAGTCAGTAGCTGCCACCTTGGGAAAGAGAACTGAAGTGAGACTTCAGAGAGAACATCTGGTTAACATTAACTCTGTCACTAGTCGCCTTCACTTAAAAGCTTGATTTTGAACCTGATTTTGGAAACTTTTTTTGCTGTAGTCGTCACAGTAGTGAATTCACTGAATTTGCAACTTGCATGATGCCAGTCGTCCATTTAGCAAAGACAGACATACGGTCAAAACCAAACTGTACTTCAACATTTGGAGTCACATGAAAGAAGCATAGTGTTTGTGAAATGCTTGAGTCATATTTATGTTGAACACTCAGTATTTGAGCTCAAAGGTTCGTCTTTATGGCTCTGATAATATTTTTCCACTTGAACTGTTATATTTTTTCCCATCCAAACCTCTCTGAGTCTGGGAGCTGGAGCTTAGAGAGCAAAGGAGAAAGGCAGCACATGAAAAAGAGAAGTTGATTTGCATGTCAGCACCTCTGTCCAGACAGAGAGGCAGGTTGGCGGACGAGGCGAGTGATCTAGTTCAGCTTTTCAGAGATTGCTGACTAGCTTCCTCTTGTGTCAGCCCAGCAGCCTGGGAGCAGGCAACGCACATTCCTCCCCTCTGATTGCAGCTGATGAAACACTCATGTGCCTCTGTCTCTGCCACACCTGGCACATGCAAACTCCTCAGTTCCAAGCCACAGCAATGTGCTGTTGCCGATCGTAGCATGCCAGACCTGGGCAGGACATACAGTAGATTGGACGCAGACAAACCCAAATCAGATCCAGTTCAGTTTTAATATGACAACAATGTTTCACTGTGAAACCTTGTCTTCAAATATAATGACTCTAAATGTGGATTGTTTTTATCTCTTTACAGTTATCAGGGCAAAGGTAGTTGGAGCGCAGGAGGTCGACACTGGTAACATCCTCTATGGACATTCAATCAAAGAGATCAAGTATGACATCAAACAGATCAAGGTAAATGGTCCAAGGTTGTCTTAATTCTCATTTTATGTCTGGGCATAATTCCAATATAAATTATTTTTTTTTAATTATTATTATCATTTTAAATTCCAGATGTTCAAAGGTCCTAACCAGGAATTTGATGCCATATACACTGCTATTACCTCTTCAGTGTGTGGAGTGACTCTGGAGACTGATGGCACGGAGTATCTTATTACAGGTAGGTCTGCAACCACATTATCAATCACACATTATGCAATATAATAAATACTGTTTCTTGATGCATCTTCATGTCAGTTTTTACATCATCTCACTGAGTCTGCGACACTGTCCCTCTGCTGTAGGCGAACTGAATGCTGAGGGGAAGCTTCATATCTCACTGTGCGAGTTTGGTATGCCATGGGAGGACCTGAGTGACACCCAAAAGACGAGCCTGATTCAGCGCTATGAAATGGGCTGTGAATGCAAGGTAGAGGATATTCAATAATCAAGTAGCATTTGCCACAAAGTAAAAAAGTTAAAGTTATCTTGCATATCATGCACTATCATGCATTGCTTGTTGTAACTTCACCCCCTCATCCTGGTCTCTTCTCCAAACCCCAGATCATTCCATGCAGCTCCATCCCCTGCACGATCAGCGGCCCAATGGATTGCCTGTGGACAGACTGGGTGGTTGAGAGGACAGTCACTGGAGAGCAGGCCAAACACTATGCTTGTATTAAGAGGAGTGATGATTCTTGTGCTTGGTACAGAGGGGCTGCACCACCCAAAAAGGATTTCCTGGACACCGAAGACCCTTAACTCCACCGCTGCCCAATGTTACAAGGATGTCTGCAGTGGAGATGTACTAAGATATAAATTCCAAAAACAGAAATAAACACACAAGTGAAATTGTTATTGTTTTATAGGGTGCGCCATGTTAAGGTTGAAGAAAATATTTTTATTCATTCAGCACTTTTTGGTTCTTCTATCCCCAAATCCAAAGCACTTCCTTATAAACCATTTCTCCTTCAGCTGAAACAAAGGGATAATCATCATAACTTAGTATTCCTGTTCAAAGTATTTGTGCTTTTAATTTTACAGTTTTCTTTTTTTTTAACCAAGTGTATTGTTTAAAGTGGACTATAATCTTATAATGAAACTCACAACTCAAAATCTATGTGTTGATAAATAACATTAGCTGGAATTAAGCATCTTTTGTGACATGCAGAGCTATGAAAAGAAAAGGGTCCTATCTCTGTCTTGTTCTAAGTATACACAACTTTTTTATAAGATGTTCCAGACCTGTTTATAGTGAGAGTGACATGCTAATGGCAACACAGTCAATGCTATGGTACCGTAATTGTTTTCTTCAAATATTCCTGAACAGAATGCACTTTGAACACAGCTGTCGCAGCTGTCATATTGTCTCTGATGCAAATATCTGAAAAAGAAAATAGGACCCTCCATTTTGTAGTTTTTTAAACATATATTAAGGCCTTCTCTTTATTATGCTTTAGTAAGTGTAAGAGCACATTTTATTTAAGGAGGTTACATGTAATCTACTGAAAAAACACCAAATTTTCAGGATTTTTAACTGGCAAATGACATTATTGGTATTGTATAAAGAGAAGACTTAGAATTTTAACAATATTAGCAAAATACACACATTATGTGTCTGTTTACTGTCTAGTTCATCTTTTAGGACAGTGAATTAAAGAACATATTTTAATACTTGCAATGCCATGGATATGATCTTAAAAGTACTGAGTGAATGTCGTGTGACTAATAATGAATATGAGAGTGTAAAAAGCTTCTTCATTTGAAACTGTAATCAAGAATAATATCTTGTGCTGGTTTCACATGAGATAAAATAATTTTTTTCATGCATGTCCAACTGAAACATTCTGTACATTTGACTATTATATTAAATGCCAAACCCTGTTTTGAAGATCTTTGTATCGGTTATTTTGACATCAATGTGCAGGCTATAAATTATTTTAATTCAGCAGAATTGTACATGTTATATGAAATATACAAATGCTCTAGGTGACTGGAGCAGTGCATTTAACATATAGTAGTTTAATTAGTCTAAAGAGGCATACATGATGATGCAGGGAGAGCAAGACTCTCTCTGTTGTGCTAGGGAGGCACAGTAGAGTAGAGTAGAGTAGAGTAGATACTTTACAGCAGCTATAGAGAACAACCAACATAACACCATAAGAACAGACACCACCATAAGAACAGACACATAAGAACAGGACTTCATAAAAACACGGAAAAGAACACAATGAGGACACCGCTGCTGTAACTTGCTGACACTCCCTGCAACAAAGAACACTTAGTCTTAAAATAAACAGTTACATGTAACAAAGCATTAGAACCTATACACACAAGCAGCTTCATCAGAACGTTACATTTTACGCAACACAAATAAACAAATCAAAGGCACAAAATGAACATCTTGCATTGGCCAGGAATCAAACCCTGGCCTCCCGCATGGCAGGCGAGAATTCTACCACTGAACTATCAATACAACTGCCATATATATAGCAGTAACCAGAATAAACGGAAATCAAGAATCATGTATCATGCCTTTGGGGAGTATTTACATCAGAAGACCTCCTACAGACAAGGACAATAAAGGACTGACACTGTAATAGCAATCTGCTGCCATCTAGTGGAGACCACAACATGTGGCATTCATACACATTCCTTCACGGGTCTACCCACTGCCCAGATATGCAATCAGACATAGCATTTATTTAAATCTCTTCAAGAATACAATTAAACTGCATCAAGCCATTTTTTTCTTTAATTGAGTTTATGCTATTCTATGAGTGCGTAATGGCTGTCTCATCTGGATGAAACATACTAAATATACTGACATTTTACTATGATTAAATATTTTCCAAAATCAGCATCAATAGGGGAACTATTATTTATTCCCACCGGGGATGTTTTATGTAAGGGAGTAACAGCTTTGCTTCAGCACACTGATGCAGTCTGCTATGACTGTACAATACAATAACATGGTATTTCGATGCTTTGTTCTTACATAAAAAAATTGCATCAATGGTAAACAGCGCTGGCGTGAAGTCACGTGTAGTTCTCTCCCGACAACGCTACGTCACTTTGAGCGCTGATTGGCTGAACCTTTCGGCTATTTCATGACCTGTTCTCTGATTGGGCTTTGTTCCATGATAGTCATTTGTCGTCACCGCCCCCTGATAATGCAGCATGGGCGAAAATATCAGAACCAAAAGCTACAGCCGAGGAAGCAGATTTCTGTACTGTCAACAATTTTGGTGATTGAACAAAAGGTGAGTGAACACCTTATGGATATGCGTTTTATTTGTCAGTAGGTATTTCCGAAATAACGCTGGTAAACAAACAAATGTGATGTGGTGGCTGGGGATGTTAGCCACTTGGACGCTAATATGCTAACCCACATTGCAGCATTGAAGGAAGCTAGCTAACAGTCAGTCGGCTCACTGGTTCAATTGCTGCTGCTGTCAAGCTTAAATTGTAGATCACGATACAGTCGACAGCAAGGAAAGACAATAAATTAAACACCGAATAAGTTATGTTTGCCAAAGCAATAACGACGTTTTATCTTTGAACTTGGTACCGTTCACGTCGACATTAGCTTAGCAACCTAGCATTTAGCTAAGATGTGATAACTAGCCCGAAGAGTTGATTCCAACTGCTATACAAGAGACTATTGCATGTAGGTGAAACAAAAACTGCCGACCAGGTTAACATAAAGTCCGCGAAATTGGACAGCTAATTTAACCAGTTATCTAAATAGCTTAAAACGATGGTGCTGTTTTAAAGGCGCTGCTGCTCTAAGCGTGCTCCCCCTAAAGTCGAGCATTCACATTTTTAGTCCACCAGGGAATAACTGTGATTTTGTGTTATTATGCAAGTAAAGCTTGTTGTAGAGATAAGCTTGTTGTAAAGATAGTCTGATTTTCGGTTGCTATTATAGCTTAAATTTCAACTGGCGCAGTAGCATTTGTGCCAAAACCACATTTGCGCCAATTAAATAATTCGCCATTGGATAATTGTTCCTTACAGCGTAAGACTGAACCCTGTGCTCTCTATGTTTGGGCCAATGGCTTATCTAAAAATCTCGACATGGTCATTCACGCGGTTCAGTTTATTGATTCATGATTACAACCCCGTCAACCACACTGTCATGTAAGTAGGTGCAAGTAATCACTTTCAATTATGATATGCAAACAATGGTGTAACAACAGCGTTATTAGTGTTGGTCTTCTAGATTAATAATTTCTTTCTGTAAATAGTTTAAAATGTCCACCAATTTCCCAAAGCCTTGTGTCACTGTTAATGATTTTGTCAGGCCAACAGTCTCAAACCCATAGATATTTACTTTACTGTCTTGACAATGGTTCAGAAAAGGGCTAAAGTAGCAAATCCACATTTTAGAAGCTAAAACAAGACATTTTTGCTTAAAAATGGCAGACTGTGAACTGGTAGGCCTACAACATTAACAGCTGAGTGCTGATGAATTTCCTCTTGTATGAACAAACTAAGTAATTGCTTCAGTGCTGATCAGTATTTCTCAAGTAATAGCATTTTTCTCCTTAATTGTACTTACTATTGTAATGATAGATATTGACTCCTGAGGAGTTAAATACCTCCGAAGCATGAGACAGGTTAGTGATATTGATACCAAGCCAGAGGCTTGCCTGAAATGACAGCACATGGTACTGAGCAAACTGAAATGATGACGATATGATGCAAACCATTTGAGCATCCACATCTGCACATGGCAGCTTTTGTGATTTGTCATGTGCAACTTTGCTTTCAGATTGAGCCATCTTACATCAACCTGTGTCATTTTATACCCGATGTAAGATGGAGATGGAAGTTCTGCTTATTTGACCGGTCATATTACCAGATCATATTTTTATACATATGCATGAATGTTAACACTTGTAGTCTCGGCTATAACCCATGCATAGATGTCAGTACAGGTGAATAACTGGCGTCACCTAACAGTATCAAAGTTGGAGTCTTTTAGGGATAGGATTTTAGATAATTACCCAGTGTCAGTCTAACTCTTAAAACATTCTCTTTACCAACATTAACATTGGAAAGTTCCTGTGTGAAATTAGAATGACTGATTGTCATTCCATAATAATCAGATTAAACACCTTAATTGTATCAACAATGCTGTCTGGAACAGCATTTGCATCACTGTGATTAGCTGTGTCCCTGCAGGCTGTGTCATTGTTAGTTGTATCAGCAGCACGTGAAGGACAGTGTGCCCTTGTGCATACAATGCATGTTGAGCCCTCCTCCTCTCGTGACGTCACTGCCCACACTGATGAGAACGACCCTCGCGGCACTCCATGCCTTCGATGTCGGTGTGGTGCTGTAATGTCGACATGATGTAGTACTATCACTTTTAGGAGTGTTTGTTGTCTTAGGAGCACCTTGGCTACATCCTGGGTAAACTGAGGCCTTTGGAGGTGGAATAAATGGTTTACTCACTCCCCAGTTAGCGTGCAACACGCTTTGCCAGCTTGCTGCTTTTTGTAGAAAATAACACATCACAAGTCATTCACTAGACCGACTGGCAGGCGGCTGGAAACATGCACACACACTATCTACGCTGAAGTGGTCCTTTTTTGTGCTCTCAGCTCCACTGTATTTAAAGGGAAAGCAGACAACCAGTACAACTATACTGTTTTTCTAGCATCATTTGTTATCTTTTAGCATCTCGCATGTCACTGATAGTCCAGATGAAAACATTTGATGCACTGTATAAACATGCCACATGGCAGATAGCAGTAAATATATTGATGCAAGCAAAAATGTTTTGTATAAAAATTTGACTTGGCAGTTAACACACCTTATGCTTATCCTTCCCTATATCGTACACACTCCCTTTCCCTGTGTTACCAATGTCTCATGTGTTGATAATGGTAAGAACAGCTGCCTAGAGCCAGCGGGCTCCTCAGAAGCACTCAGTTCTTGTATCTCTTGTGAAGCCACATCATATGACCTGGAGGTACCTGACAGACTTACTCATAGACACTTAGCTGGAAGGGAAATTCAACATTTATTTTTTCCTATTAAGCTCAGAGACGGTCAAGATACCTTGAAGTGCCTTTATGCAAGGTTTAGACAATCAAATGACATGTTGTTATTATCCGTTTGGGGAAATTGGGTGAGCAAGCTTTGTTTGTGCTACTTCATGTCAAGTTCAGCCAAGTTTATGGCACTGACATCTAATCTTTCTCTGCAGTGATGTTCCAACAATGCCAATAGTGGATAAACTCAAGGAGGCATTAAAACCCAGTCGAAAGGACTCGGGTGATGAGGGTGACCTCAACAAACTGTTGGCGTCTTCGGCCAAAAAGGTCCTTTTGCAGAAGATAGAATTTGAGCCAGCCAGCAAGGGGTTCACCTATCAGCTGGACAGCTTGAAGAACAAGTATGTGATTCTCAATCCAAGGAATGAGGGTGGTACAGGGCAGAAAGCCACAGAGCCTCCCCAAATAAAGAGGCAAGGTGAGCTCTCAAACTGCACTGAAAATGTAGCTGAGGTTTATAGTTTGACCTTTGCCACCTTTTGATTCTAGCCCTGAAAGCTCAGTTCCTGTGTTCTGCACATTACTGCTCTGCTTGTCCCAAAATTGAATGCTTTCCTCATTCAGTCTCAGAAAATGTGGCTGGGGGCCAGAGCGATGGGATCCCGGCCCCGCAGAAGATGCTCTTCCCAGGGAACAAGCTTACCCTTAAATGGGAGCGTGTGTACAGGGTGGGAGCCGGCCTCCACAACCTCGGTAACACGTGCTTCCTCAACTCCACAGTGCAGTGTCTCACCTACACCCCGCCACTGGCCAACTACTTGCTCTCGAAGGAGCACAGCCGTGCCTGTGAGTATTTGAATCGTGCTCTTGGGATTTATGCTCCCAAATTTGTCCACATGTGCTATGAGGGATAAAACCTGCTTGATAAAGCCTCCATGACTATTGAATTGACATACATTACTGCATACACAAGGCTCATCTTTTTCAGTTTCTACCAACTCTTACTGAAAAATACCTGAACTGAAGGGTGACTTGCTTTTCATCTTTGTTCTTGGTGTCCAAAAACATTTGCAGGCACACAGGTTTAAAGGAAAACCAGTTGTTTTCCTTTGAAGTCCTCAAAATGTTTGTCTGGAAAACAGACAAACGTGGAGAAAACCAAAGTACGCTGCCGGTCAAGTAGAGTCAACCATCAGAGACCTTCAGATTGATGATTAAAATAAAATCTGAAGCATTATTTTCATCCTGTTTATGCCTTTATACATCAATAAATATCCATATATTTGTTTACAGAAATAAAATCAGGAATTGATCAGTATGTCTTTGCATGTGTCAGTATTCCTGTGATGATCCTGACTCGTTTTTAAATCCAGTGTGCTTTTAACTTATGCTGGTCTTTTACCTACTGTATGAAGTAGCTATATCAGAGACAGATTATACTGCTTTGTGATGAACCCCGAACAATCTGAATGCTGACTTTTAATGAGATCATGTTTGCAGTGCGATATGAATTGGTTAATTTGCATTCCCCCCAGTTTTCATTATAAAACTTTTATTTTGTGAGTGACTCTGACTCTGCTTTGTGGTTGTTGTCGTCATCTGTGTTTCAGGTCACCAATCAGGCTTTTGTATGATCTGTGTAATGCAGAACCATATCATCCAAGCCTTTGCCAACACAGGCAATGCCATCAAGCCTGTCTCCTTCATCAGAGACCTGAAAAGTAAGGCATCCATCTTTCTTCAGCTCCATGTGATTGGGTCAGAGCAGTTTGTGCTCACTAGTGTTGGTGTAGGTTCTGTTAGGAATCATGACCCACCTGATTTTAATGTTGAATACTGCCAGAGGCACAATGATGCAACACTGGCCACAGCGTACCATGTGACAAGAGCCAGTACCTGCAGTAGATAAGTGGAGCAATGAGGCTGCAGGCTGCGAATGAACACCATGTAGAGAGTAGGGATGAAGTGTGAGTTACACTTCAAAATGGCAAGGAGTGCGCCCTCCCTACCTGCCTGCTACTTCCTTATATGCTGCTGCAATCATGTCTCCACCTCCTCCTCCTCACCCCCCACCCCCTCTCCCCCTGATGCCCTCTCTGTCTCCTTGTGACTGCGGGCTGAGAGGAGCAGCTTTATCACAAAACTGTACAGTCCACCTTTTTTCCTCCTTTTCAGCTCGGACATAGAGATAGATATTCTACGTCTTTTAGAGTTTCTCTTGGCATTCGTTTAGTTAGCGGTTCCTCTGCAGTGAGAAATGTGGAACCACAGCTAGAAAAATGGAAATGCATATAACAAAAAAATCACCATGTGTTCATCAAGCTTGTCTTCCTCATAGCTGGGTTATCAAACTAAATAAAACTACAACCACCCCTTCAGCACCCACACATTTCCTCTGGTCAAGCTGTTGTCTCCCTCTTGTCTGAGAAGTGCACTGAACTGGTCATTAGTGCATGGTGTCTTATTCCTTTTTCCCACTCAGTGATGACTCATTGTTGTAAATGTGCCGGGAATATGGTGATGACCACATAACAATTCTACCAGCTCGTACCATCCCTTTGTTCCATTAGGAAATAACATCAGAGGCAAAGGGTTTAGAGCCATATTAGCTCTAATGTACTTTTAGATGAGACATCAGCCTGCTGAAGTCACTAAGTGACTGTAAGCTTTTTTATTAGGTCATTAGTGAACAGGTTGTGTGAGATGAGGTACCAGCCTTAGAGGCCAACTGTAAGTAGTGCCCAATGAAAGAATCCTGTTAAACCTCATAGCATAACACACTCCTCACTGATCATTAATATACAGTGGGTACGGAAAGTATTCAGACCCCCTTAAATTTTTCGCTCTTTGTTATATTGCAGCCATATGCTAAAATCATTTAAGTTCATTTTTTTCCTCATTAATGTACACACAGCACCCCATATTGACAGAAAAACACAGAATTGACATTTTTGCAGACTTATTAAAAAAGAAAAACTGAAATATCACATGGTCATAAGTATTCAGCCCCTTTGCTCAGTATTGAGTAGAAGCACCCTTTTGAGCTAATACAGCCATGAGTCTTTTTGGGAATGATGCAACAAGTTTTTCACACCTGCATTTGGGGATCCTCTGCCATTCCTCCTTGCAGATCCTCTCCAGTTCTGTCAGGTTGGATGGTAAACGTTGGTGGACAGCCATTTTCAGGTCTCTCCAGAGATGCTCAATTGGGTTTAAGTCGGGGCTCTGGCTGGGCCATTCAAAAACAGTCGCGGAGTTGTTGTAAAGCCACTCCTTCGTTATTTTAGCTGTGCGCTTAGGGTCATTGTCTTGTTGGAAGGTGACCCTTCGGCCCAGTCTGAGGGCCTGAGCACTCTGGAGAAGGTTTTCGTCCAGGATATCCCTGTACTTGGCCGCATTCATCCTTCCCTCGATTGCAACCAGTCGTCCTGTCCCTGCAGCTGGAAAACACCCCCATAGCATGAGGCTGCCACCACCATGCTTCACTGTTGGGACTGTATTGGACAGGTGATGAGCAGTGCCTGGTTTTCTCCACACATACCGCTTAGAATTAAGACCAAAAAGTTCTATCTTGGTCTCATCAGACCAGAGAATCTTATTGCTCACCATCTTGGAGTCCTTCAGGTGTTTTTTAGCAAACTCCATGCGGGCTTTCATGTGTCTTGCACTGAGGAGAGGCTTCCGTCGGGCCACTCTGCCATAAAGCCCCGACTGGTGGAGGGCTGCAGTGATGGTTGACTTTCTACAACTTTCTCCCATCTCCCGACTGCATCTCTGGAGCTCAGCCACAGTCATCTTTGGGTTCTTCTGTACCTCTCTCACCAAGGCTCTTCTCCCCCGATAGCTCAGTTTGGCCGGACGGCCAGCTCTAGGAAGGGTTCTGGTCGTCCCAAACGTCTTCCATTTAAGGATTATGGAGGCCACTGTGCTCTTAGGAACCTTAAGTGCAGCAGAAATGTTTTTTGTAACCTTGGCCAGATCTGTGCCTTGCCACAATTCTGTCTCTGAGCTCTTCAGGCAGTTCCTTTGACCTCATGATTCTCATTTGCTCTGACATGCACTGTGAGCTGTAGGGTCTTATATAGACAGGTGTGTGGCTTTCCTAATCACGTCCAGTCAGTATAATCAAACACAGCTGGACTCAAATGAAGGTGTAGAACCATCTCAGGGATGATCAGAAGAAATGGACAGCACCTAAGTTAAATATATGAGTGTCACAGCAAAGGGTCTGAATACTTGCCGTACCCACTGTATAAATGTTTTTTTTCCCAGTCATTAAAACTGCATTATAACCTGCAACTCTATTGTTTTTGAAATGAAAACCGATTTGGTTTGTCCACTTGCCATATTTGTTAAACAGACACATTTGTAGCCTTTCTATTGAGCAGAATATTGGATTGTTAATAATATAGCTGTTCTTCTGTCTCGTTGTCTACGGATTGATGTTATGCAAATAGGATTCATTTGAGCAGTCAGTTAATGATTCTAACATAAATGAACTTTTGTCTCTCTGGGTTAAAATGGCACACATTAGCTAACTTTCTTTTACTCGCTACAATAGTCATTACTATCCATTTAGGGATGTATAAAAATCTTTTTTGCTCTGAACTCCCCTGACTCAGAAAGTGGTGTGGCTGAAACATGAGTAATTATCATAGAGCACTTAGTGCTGTGGAAGCACTAAGTGTTGGGAAGATTGGATTGAAGCTAACGTGCACTCTTGTCCAACACAGAAATTGCCAGACACTTTCGCTTTGGAAGCCAAGAAGATGCCCATGAATTTTTGCGATACACTATCGATGCCATGCAGAAAGCCTGTCTCAATGGGTACCCTAAGTAAGGCTTTACTGTTGTTTCGGAAAAGTATGACGATACTAGGTTTTACGTAAATATTGTTTGATCGTTTCTGGTTTCTTCTCGTTTGTAGGCTTGACAGACAGACCCAGGCCACAACGCTGGTTCACCAGATCTTTGGAGGTTACCTCAGGTCAAGAGGTACTGACGTTTTCACAGATAAAAATGCCTCCAGATGTCTGTCTGTTTTTGGTGTTGTTACTGATTTCCCATCAGAGTAGTCTAAGTCTGTTGGTGTCAACAAAATGTTTATTGTTTAAAACAGTCCTAATTGCAATGCAAGGAAAATGAGGAGGTGCCATACTGGACATCTTATCTGTCTTATGTAGGGGGATGTGTCTCCCTCTCACACTGTTCAATCTGTATGTCGATTGCTATTCTGTTTTAATTTAGCTTCTATTTGACAAATTGTACATTAAGTGTATGTGTTTAGGCAAGGCACAGTAGGCACTAGTGTAAACCTTTGTACTGTGTCCACCTGCTGCTTCACCTCACCAAACAGTGTTGGGATGCATGTTTCACTGAAATGCTGCAGACTTGTTATTGTGTACCTCTATATGAGCGTGTGTCCTTGCAAATGAAATGGCTTTAGTGTTTGACTTTGTTCGGGTGTCAATTTGAGCTAATGTGCTCTGAAAGTAGCGGACTAGCACTGCTACCTGTCAGTTAGTAACAATTGGATCTGGATATAAGAAGAGCAAGAAATGTAAACTGAAGAAATGTAAAGGTATTTTCCCCTAATGTTTGATTTGAGCTCGGAGGCAGTCGGCAGTCAGCTCTTTGTTTACAGGAAATGAAACAGAGGTCTCTGTGAAACATTTCCAGTAATCACTGTCAGCTCTGCTACATTAACGGATTGCTTTCTGTTGAAATAGCTCCACACGTGAGAGTCAGATTTTGTTTTTAATTTTGTCTTTCAGTGAAATGCTCTATTTGTAAAAGTGTGTCAGACACGTATGACCCATACCTGGACATTGCTGTGGAGATTCGGGTAGGTTTTACAGTTTGTCTTATGCCCAGTTCATACTACACGATTTAAGCCTGATGACAGCCCGACTGACAAACTGTGTCTGACACGACATTCGATCGTTTTATTCCGTATAGTGTACCATAGTAAACGACAACTTTACGACGCCCTGACACAAAGTCCAGTATGTCAGAATTTCTTTTCATCGTCTACGACGTGTTGGGCCAACGCTGACCAACAGGCGCACAGATGGCTCATCTGTTCACACCGCTTCTGGCATAATGGACTGAACCTTATTCATTAAATATCACAGTGATACAGCTAACGTTAGCACAGTGGCTTTCACAGTCAGTCTTGTGAAATAGCTAGCTAGTTTTTGGTTTTTCTTCCGACTCAAAACACTTATTTTTAACTGCTACTTAAAGTCCTCAGTGAAGGACAGACAATACACAGGCTGCTGCCCTCTTCCTGCAACCCAAACACTGGTCCACGGGCTTTTTTACCCCCGGTTTTTTTTATGCTTTTCTGAACACAAGCAGCCAGTATTACATATACCACAGACACTATTCTGTCTCCTGCTCCCTGGCTGCCTCCAAGTTGTGAACGATGTCAGGATGTGATCTGTTGGGCACCAACATGTAGTCTGTCATAGCCCCTGTCTAAGAATTTATGACTCCTATAATCTGACATAGTGACCATCGTATCAGACAAAAAAATCATGTAGTCTGAACCAGGCATTACCAGTATGTCTTATTTCCATGAAATTATTATATGCATACAAGCTTTTTCCCTCTGAATGTCATAGTTTTCTGTGCTTGTCTTTTAGCAAGCTGTAAACATAGTGCGAGCCCTGGAACTGTTTGTTAAACCAGACGTATTAAGTGGAGAGAATGCCTACATGTGTGCCAAGTGAGTGCCAGTCACGCAGCATCATATATTTTTAAGTAAATTTGCAGGGCATTGAAATAGATTTAAAAACACAAATTTTTCTCTAGGTGCAAAAAAAAAGTGCCAGCGACCAAACGCTTCACAGTCCATCGAACATCCAATGTACTGACTCTGTCACTGAAGAGGTTTGCCAACTTCAGCGGAGGCAAAATAACAAAGGTTAACAAATCGCCCTCATACCATTGACTATTTAAAAGAGCTGTCTCATTTCTTAGCGTGTTGAACATTTCCATATGTTGTTTTATTCTTCAGGATGTTGGATTTCCAGAATTTCTGAACATCCGCCCCTACATGTCTCAGAGCTCAGGCGACCCTGTTATGTACGGCCTCTATGCTGTTCTGGTGCACTCTGGCTACAGTTGTCATGCTGGCCACTACTACTGCTATGTAAAGGTCAGGTCATCTTTTTATTTTTTTTTTGTTTTATTTAGAATAAGTACCTCGAGATGAGGCATCTTGTTTTCAACCACCTGTAAAAGCAAATAAGAAAAATGCTTAAAATAAAGGTCTTAACTACAGACTGTGTAATGATGGATGATGTGACGGCTTTATTTTTAAATGTTTTTCACCTCCTTGTTTCCTTTCAGGCAAGCAATGGACAGTGGTACCAAATGAATGATTCAATGGTGCACTCCAGTAACATCAAAGTGGTCTTGAACCAGCAGGCTTATGTGCTTTTCTACCTGAGGTAAAACACTGGTGTGCTGCTAGGGATCAAAGAAGGTGGTGCCTGTTTCTCCTGGAAGTATAATTAGCTAAACCAGGTCCTTTATTTGTATGTTGAAGGATCCCTGAAACCAAGAAGAATGCAGATGGGCAGACCACCAAGCAGGGGATGTTGCATCCTGGGAAGAACAGCGTGTCGTCTGAACAGATAAAGAGGGTTAACCTGAACGGACCTCTCTCCTCCCCACAGGTCACAAAGGTATAGGACTTTTAAGATGAAATGCTGGAAGTTGTGCTCCCAGTTTTAACATTTTGGTCAAATATATTTTTAATACAAGTTCACCTCTTTACAGAAACTTGAGCCTGCACAACTGCGTAAGATCCAGTCTGTGGATGGAGGTTTGGGCTTGCCCGTTTCCAGAAATGGGGTGAGCTCTCAGCCACCGCCCAGACTTTCCAACTGGATGCCATCCTCCAGTGGCCCACCGAAGCTGCCAGGTGGACCCACGGCTATCGAGGAGCCTTTTAAGAAGCTAAAGAAGCCCTCTCCTCAGAGCCAAGCACCGTCCCGCAGCAGCACTCCGACCCCTTCCAACAATGGGGTCAGCAGGACGGATGGAGATAAAAAGCAAGGTGGCGAGGGCAGAGGCATGGCAGTGTCTACCTCATTTAAGTCTTTGTCTGACTCTTCCTCTGCCGACAGCACTGACTCAAAGGTAACAGAAAAAGCACTAACATGCATCTTATTTTAAAGGCAGAATCATCTGATCTGATCGTATGCATCGGGATGTGCAAAGTATGTTGATGTCAAAGTAGATGTGAAAATTGTCTAAAGGGCTCTCTGCCAAAAGACATCTTGATCTCAGTGAGACCTACTGTTTAAAGACATGAAATAACGTTGTTGGGTAAATGGCCCACATATTACAGATACTTTAGATTTTTCTTGTGCCATTTAAGGAGATGCATCTCAGACCAAGTGTGGATGCACCAAAGCATAACCGCAGGCTATGATTGCCTTTGCTAGGACTCCATGGGTCCCAAAAGTGCACCAGTAGGTGAGATTCCCACCACACCTCGTAAAGGTCCCAGTGGCCTGGCGTCTCCAGCCAAGAGTGTGGAGCGCTCTCAGAGCACGGAGGAGCAGAAGACGGCAAAAATAAAACCCCCAGCCCTCAACAACATCACAGCCGAAGCCACCAGCACCATGTCTCCTCCCCCTGCCAAGAAACTGGCCCTGTCAGCCAAGAAGGTGAATTTCATTCCCATCCACAAGCAGCAACACCACTTCTTGTCTTACTGCAAGCTCATGAAGCCTTGGTGTCCTATTGCCACCTTCACACTGCTCTCCAAAATGTGATCATTTATTTCATTAAGTAGTTTTATTAATGCAAGGAAACGCTCCTTTTCTAGTTTAATTTCTGCTATGTGTAATTTGTTTTTTCTCCAGTGTGCCTGTCTAATCAACCACATGGTAGCACTTGTTTAGACTTTGTCTTTTTCCTTTAGTTTGTTCTTTTTTTCTAACCATTTCTGATTCTTCTCTGCCATACCCTTTCCTCTTTGTTTTTCTCCCTCCATCTTTTCCTTCTGCCCCATTAATCTGCCCCCATTGATTCTTTTCCTTATTTTTGTCACATTCATGGATATTTTCTTTAGACCACCAAGTTTTTATTTATGTCGATAACTGCAGGCTCGCAGCCGGAGTCCGAGCAGCATTGATGCTCTGCCCCCATTGCCACACCAGCCTTCCAGTGACCCCATGCATCAAAATCAGCTTAACTCTCCCACCTTTGCTTCACCTTCTCACACTCACAGGTATAAAGTATGAGGCAATCACAAGAAAAGCAAATGGTGTTCAGATTCATCCATGGGAAATGACAATGACAGCATTTATCCAGATTCCCTCTCTTCTCTCCACAGAGCTAGTCCATTCCATTCACCCAAAGTCCAGTCTTCACCTTTTGCTCACTCAAGTGCATCACTCAAACAGCTGAGCCATCAAAAACAGTCCCTTCTCTCCACACTGCAAAAACCAAATGCCAGCCTTTCTCTTAAAACCAATGGGCTTCACAGTCCCAGCCCACAGAGCCCCAAGTCTTCCAACAACTTCAGCTCCATGGTGCAAGAGCCAGACAGCCCTTCATCTCAGAAGATCAACCAAAAGAAGAAGAAAAAGAAGCGGCGCCATTCTGAGGTGGAGGGTGACGCAGATCAAGTCACGTCCCCAGTTACAGTAACACCGTCCAACCTCTTGGAATCTGCTCTCGAGAAGAAGCACAAGAAGAAAAAGAAGAAGAAGCGAAAGAGGGAGAATGAGGATGGAGAGAAAGTACAGGAGAGGGAGTGTGTCCCATCTCATCTGGATGCATCAAATCAGGAAGAGGACTGGTGTAAAGGTGGCATATGGAGTTTAGCATCCCACCCAGATGCAGAACAGTCTAAACAGGCGCCTCAGTTAACTGCCACAACCCAAACGCAGTGTGAGTCCAGTCAGGAAGAGCAGGGAAGGGACTCGGTGTTGCTAAAGAAGAAGAAGAAGAAAAAGAAAAGGAAGAAGATGGAACTGGTGGAAGCTCTACAGGACACGACTCCAGCATGCTCTGCATCAGAAAAGTGGGTCGAGGTTTTGTTAGTGTGTTTAGTTACTTGTCTTTGTGTCCCTGAAAGAAAATACAGTCATGATTAACTTTGTTCAAAAAAAAACACAGCCTCTGGTTCAGTTTGAGTTATTGGTTTGGGAACCACAAGGCACATAGCTGTGCTCCTGTAACAACCAAGTAACTCTTTAGTCACACTCTGTTTATGACCAACAACACACACATACAATATTAATCTTCTTTTTGTCAGTAAGCACATTGAACTAACGGAATTCAGTTTTTGCCCCAACAGCATTTCAGACATCAAGGCCACAGTCATTCAGAATGACACAGGAGATTTGATAATGCTGAAAAAGAAATTAAAGATGAAGAAGAAGAAAAGGCTAAAGGAAGAGGTGGGACTGTGGGAGGAGAGCAGGCGATGTTCAGAAGGGCAGGATGATGAGCCTAAAACAGCAGAGCCCCCTTCTAAAAAGAACAGCAAAATAAGCCACCAAAACTCAGGTATGTGAATTTGAGTGCCTACACATTCTGTACATGCACAGAACAGATTTGTACTTTTGCTGTGCAAACTAAAGTGCGGAGTGTGAGATCTTGTTGCCATGCCAACGCAGAACATATAATACCCTTCTGTACTGATTAGAGCTATTTGCCGAAAATCGCTCTGCACCACCACAGCCCCTCAGCCTTTCATTTGAGTGACCTGTAATTTCGCAATTATTAAGAGAGTATGACTCATTGCATTTTTAGAATGCCAGATTTAATCACTTCTTCTTCTTTTTTCTGTGCTTTTCATTTCTTTCTGCTGATTGTTTTCTCAATCCAGCCACAGTAGTAGCGTGGGACAGCCAAGTGAAAGATGGCTACAAACGCAACCAGGCGCCAGCAGCTGATGGAAGCGCACCAAGAGAGAGCGCCCTGATCCGAGCTGCTCCCAGAGCCTGGGATGGGACAAAGACAAGTAGTGTGGTAGAGGAGCTCCTTAGGAATGCAACAGATAAGGCCTATGGCGCCAACGGTAACACACTTACTGCTGTGTACATTTGAGCCTTTATATTTCAATTTCATCATGTTTAGTAAAAGATGTTTTTCTGTATGCATTTATGGGTGTTTGTCTCATGTAGTCCTCAGTTGGGATGGAGAGGTCTCGGCTATTAGTAGAGATGCCATTGAGGATGCTCGTCATGCCAAGTGTGACACTGTGATCGATGAGTGGGATGAAGACTTTGACAAGGGAAAGGTGAGGACAAATTGGAACATGGGGAATTATAAGAATAATGTCTTAGATTTTGGTTAGAGATGCACCGATTCCGGTTTGCTCATCTGACCTTGTAATTGACAGCATACACAAATATTTCTACAGTTTTCTTTAATGGAAAAATTAAATTGTAAGAAAAATAAAACATTGTATTGAAGTTTAACATTTTCTAACAATCCTTTTAACAACCCTCTAACTAAAAATGAAGTACATTATTTGTACGTTTCCAAATATAAACAGGTACAACAGGCAATAGAACTTGAATGTCTGTTACTACTTTTTGTAGTGTGTGTAGTTTGTATTTGCTGTGTTTTACCACAGGTTAGATACATTGTACATGCGGTTCATGTGTGACCAGCGATTCCCTCATTGTGTATTGTTTGTTGGAGATTTGGGCGTAGTTTCCTCTTCTCCAAGGTGTTTCTCTTGGCTCCTCTGTGTGCTCTTTGTACACCAAGTAATTCCAGTGCTTGAGTGAACACCCATCCGTTACAGACACTGGCCCGAGTCTCGCTCAAAATACACACGAGATGCTACATGCTGCACACGCTACACTTTTGGTCTGTGCCATTGCGTGTGCAACATGGACTGCCGTGCCTCTAAATCTCATCAGCACAGAATTGGATATCGCAGATGGATAAGGTCGCCGGTCAAGGCCCATCAACGCTGAAAACTGGCCGTTTCCAGCCTCTGATCACTGCATCTCTAATGTTGTTGTTTCATGTGTATTAAAGTACAAATTTAGCACTGCCATTGCTTGTTGGGCTTATTCTCACGCTCCCTTTTCACTTCTAAATGAACAGGTAAAGAAAATGAAAAGTTATAAAAAAGTGAAGTGGAGAAGTGGCAGCAACATCTTCCAGAAGATCCAAGACAGGAGGAACAAGTGGTCGGTGACACCTGGAGGGAAGAGAGTCTTTGGAGTCCGTCGCTGAGAGTTCAGGCTTCTGTCAAAGTCCAACTGACTGGAAATTGAGACAACAGTACTGTATACCAAACCTCTATACCTTTTCTCAGTCTCTTGCTCTCTCTCTTTTTTCTTTTTTTTTTAAATCTGTCCTGTTCACGTCAGACCCAGAAGATTCAAGGGTCAAAAGCAGCACAGCAGGCTGTCTGACAAGCAGCCCCTTCAATACAAAGTTTAAACTAAGCAAAACTAAATGTTGTCTTCATTGGCCAGATGGATTTCAGTACCTGCATCCCATTTTAATTCAAATGCCACAGTTAGTGGCTTGAGCTTTTCTATGCATGCTGTATTTAACAGAAACCTTTACACATCCATGTCGCATGATTATTGTGTGTTGGCATCTTTTGAGCTTTGGTCATTGCCCCAAAACACTGATATACCAAAAAAAAAAAAAAGTTAGAGTAATAATAATGAAGTATAAGCTCTTTGGCCATGTCGTATTGAAAACTGTACATGATCTCAGAGTGAACTATGCTGATTTTACATACATGAGGGCTCAGTAAGTTGGACTTTTAAAAAGTGGCCACTTTAACCCTGCTCCTGAAATTATTCTGTACCAAATCACAGAGATCCAAAATTGTTTATTCATGAAAACTTTATTTTAGATTTTTGTGTCATTTTCTTACTTTATACCTTTTATCCACTATTGTGTCATGCTGCTGCAGTGTTTGTGCCATGAGGTTTTTCTTTTTGTTTTTAAGGACCAAGGTTTTCCTGCATACTGTTGGTAAAATTAGGGAAATCTCTGCCATATTTAAATGAGTTAAAAAAAAAAAACATTTAACACCATATATAAACATTTTGATTGTTTGAGGAAGTGTTATTACTTTGATCATGTCAGAATATTTACCTGGAAATGTTCTGACAGCTTGTGAATTTGCAAAGCAGAGTTTAAGGTTCTTGAAGGAAATCAGACTGGAGCCTTTATTTTATTTCATTTTATTTTCTACTGTGCAGCTGTTAAACTGTGTAGCTCATCTCATCAGTCCAGCATTCAGAAGGTCTCTCCATCTGGAGATCTGACTGTTCCATCCTCTGTAACAAACCTCACCACAAACTGTTCTTTAGCATTTTTACTAAAATAAAAAGGTGTAATTTTATACTTCAGGCACTGTGTTAAAATGGGACTGTCACATGCTAATAATTTCTTTTCCCCTTATGTAACTCTATGCAATTTTCCAGTGGTCATGCTTGTCACTTATCAACTGGGCTGAGACTCAGGAACCCAGACATCTTGTATCCCATCTTCATCTTTGATCAGACTCCCCAGTTTCACATCACTGTCCCTCTCCCTGGACCACCATTATGCATCCTGTACATCCATTAGAAACTGTTTCATACAAAGTATTTCAGGTGTTGAAAACATGGGATCATCTTGCACCAATCCAGGCACATACATAGAGAAACTAATACCAAAATGCTTTGCCAGTGTAGAAGACTGTACAGTGCATTTATGCTACCTGTGTTTCCCTTCAGTGCTGTAAAGATTGGCCCATGCATTGTTCATTCTAGAGATGTTGCCTTGAATTGGCTATAAAAGAGTATAGGATTTATTGTAAAAATATATAATTTCAAAAGGAAATGAAATCTTTAATGTGCTACTAATACTTGGTTCAATTGATGGATGTTAACTTGAGAATTTATCTGCAAATGTGTATGTTCATTTGTGTATAAGAGAGTTGTCTGTTTCCATGCAAGACCTTTCCTATGTCACTGTAACGTGTACCGTACAAGAGGCTATGACGGTCTCCTTTTCATAGGGCGTGTTTGTCAGCTGTGAAATCGATGTAGGGTACGACTCTCAAACTGACATGGGAACAGTTACCAGTTTCAGTGGACGGTCCACGTGTTTGCATTGATGGATCTATATTTTGCACCACCTTTGCTGACCAGGGAAGAGACCTTTCATAATGAAAGTGGATCTTACCACATTATAGTTAACTATAAAGTTGCAATAAAGTTGTGACTTTTGTGAGCTGATTCTCCAGTTTACTTCAACAACTTCCATGGTTTTCTATTTTTTGTGTTATGTCATTAGAAATTAGGTAATTTCATTTAAAAAAGGAGCAGTGTCAATATTTTCCATTGTTACTGTGGTTGGGGGGGGGGGGGCTATTATCACAGGGACATACTTTTGTTAGACCAGTTGGGCTTAGCTAAAATCACATTTTCAAGAAGAGTGAGAAGTAATTAGAACTGGGCTCGTGGCCACGCCCATTCAGTGACGTCACACGTAGTTCCCCTCCTGAAGCGCCCGCAACTTGATTTCAGGTACAAAATGTCTTCTTTATAACATGCACGCTATAAGCAAAGTAAGCGACCGGTGAACATAGAACATTTAGTAGGCACTCACCAACAGGAAGTGAATATTGGACTAATATTCACCGCTGGGGGTGTAAATGTGGAGGGAAACATTAAAAAACAATAGACCAAAGCGTTAGAAAAGTTGTCTTGCTGTTGTCTGCAAAATTATTCTTTATTAATGTAACATAATCCGCTGTTTGCTTACATGTAGTTTTTGTTTTCTGCACAGTAAATGACACAACTCGTGCCCGTATTCACAAAGTTGTTGGTTAATGATAAGTTCGAGCGTGACATCACATCTGGGAAAGGAGGGGCCAGCATGTGCACCGGCTTCTCTGGATGCACAACGGCCACCAGCCAGCAGTGGCAGGACACAAGCATCCTAAACGGGCTCTGTAAACAAAGTGAACCGCAACAAGCTGAAAAGTAGCACCTAGGAGCTTTATCAAACCGAGATCTTGGGGAAACAGAGAAGCCATAGCGAAGAAGAGACGACAAAGGGAGGGAAGAAGGAGGTATCCGGATTGCAGCGGGCGCTGGTCGAGAGCCATCCCCGGACAGTGACGCCTCCGGCAGCATCAGAGCCACCAGGATGCAGGGGGAGAATTACGGTTTGTTTTCATGCACTGTTCGGCATTTAGTGGATGTTTTGGTCCAAGCCACAGACCAGTGCCATGAGTGTATATTTAGCTGTGGTGTCTCTCTGTAGTCTCCTGCTCTGCTGTGCCAGCTGATCTGAAATGACAGACTAGTAGAGATGCTCATGCTGCCGGTCTGACTGTTGAAATGATAGCATGGCATAGTACAGACCAAGTTCTAGTCCGCATTATGCCATGTTTAACACTTGTTTATCTAAGGAAATGTATACACAGCAAAGGAAATACCTTGCTGGGTTTTGTATAGCCTAAGCCAGCTTTAAACAGGTGGTCCTTGTGGTAATCACTGCCAGAAAGATATAAAAAGATCTGTAGGATGAATTATTAAGCATCACACTGCAGCTATGACAACACACAAAATAGATGTAGTGACAAACACTGGGCTCTATAGATGACACACGTTTACAAAATGCCTTTTTATAAAATTGGCCTCACTGCTGAAACTAACCATCTTCCAGAAAATTCAACATCCTGACATCATGTCTAGGGTGACCATCATAATGATGTCAGGCCAGGATGAGTTTAGCTGATGGCTCAGCTTAGGCTATGACAGAGTCCTCATTTCAATTATTTAGCAGTTTAGGTTTTCTCTGAGCTTAATGCATCTCAGAATAGAAACCACCAGCTTTGGCCTCATTGCAAGATTTCAACTGATGCTCTGCACGCGAAAAAGGTTGACTTTCTGTGAGTCACAAGAGAAAGAAAAGTTTTAGTTTAGCCTAGTTAGAAATACACATTCTAGATTACTGATTTGTAGGTCTACTCTCATACATGTATAGTGTCTTTGCTTCTGTCCAAAGAACAATTTGTCTTGGTCTGTTCATTGCGTTTTCATTATATCAGGCTCCAGTGGACACTTTAGCCCACACAGCATGTTTGCCATCAACCCCAGAGAAGGATAATCTTATTTATTTGCAGCAGCCTTCACTTGTTAGTACCTTCTTATTTGCGATTCAGATGAAGAATCAGTCTATGATTATGTAATTATTTGTTAAAGTGTGAGGCATAAGAGAAGCTCCCAGCACATTCAGATAACACTCTCACTGTCCCCGACACCTCCATAGTCAAACCGGCAGCTTCTCTGTCTGAATGGGTAAGTACAAGTCATATCTCTTCTGTCCCTGAGCACTGTGGCTGTTCAGCATAATTGAACTCTGAGAAAGAGAGAAGCTAGAAGTAATCCCTCAGCTGTCAAGGCTCGATTCTGACAGACTTCATTTTATTTTGGTTAAGCTGGTTTTATACGTAGCCTAGACTTATGCAACAAAAATGTGTGACAGCGATGAGCTGCCGCCTTCTAATATTTTATGACAGGATTATCATACTGTGGTTTGGAAGTGTGTTTCTGTGATGTTGCTTCTACTGTATATGTGCTGGTACCCATTCATTGGGTGTGGTCTGTTTTAAGACTCGCTTCAAAGGCTTTGAGCTGCAGGGTGTCACAGTGTTTTTATTGCAATCTACCTACACCTGCCAGTGCAACTCAGTTTTTCTTTGCAAATACTGTATGTGCACACGGAGAAAGCAGCACGGCTGTTCGTTGGTGAGGTGCACTATAGCGGCAGGTGTGGTTGTTGTGGTTATACTTGTCATCTCGACCTCTTCTCCTCAGCTGGGTGATTGACATGTCAGAAGTACTGTAGCTTCTACTGGCCTGTAATATGTTGTTTTTCTGCTGTATACTGTCACTTTCTAACCATGTGATGACGAGAACGGTTTATCCAAGTACTAAGCTCATCTCGCATTCAAAGCACTGAAAGACGGTCAAAGCGACAGCAGCAGCAACATCTCAGTGGACATTTGCAGACACATCTTTATTCTCATTTTTAAAAAAAGATGACATCGAAATCAAAGAAGAAACTAAATCTGTCATCTCAAAGTTTAGGCCCACATCTAAAAATAAACATTCCTATAACCTAGATAACAGACATGTTCCTTTGTTTTCCGTTATTAAATCAACAGCACTCACAAAGAGATGCAGATAAGGAAAAGAAAAATAAAGGATATTAACACTTTAACACATTTGACAGGATATTGGGCAACGGGCGCCACAGCTTGCCTAATCTATATTTAGGTTGATAAGTCGGATCCTCTGTGGTGAGGATATTCAGCTGAGTCGTACCAGCAGAGGTGCTAGTTATGCCCCCACGCCCATCCAGTTGTTGTTAGTCACTGAAATTGACACTAATGTTAGGCTGCTTTGTACAGTGGGAGTTCCACTAACACAGATCAGCAGGCTCTGTGTGGGTTTTATATCCAGCTGGGGAAACTTTTTCAGTGCAGAGAAGACTGTCTACATACATGATAGAAGACAAACATATAACCAATTTTCTGCAGAGTCCCCCAGTAGGCTGTCTGCTGTGGGAGCTGAAGGATTTCTGATTTTCTGCTTGTACATGGATGCTCCACTGAGTTTATTCACCTATATATATACATTTCATTGCTAAAGTAAAGCTACTTCTGCTTTAAACTTCTGTTCAGTAAACTCCAAACACCTTCTGCCTGATAGGTGAACTAAGAATAAAAGTGTCATTGCATGTTGTGTCCACATGGTGGCACGCATGTACAGCTGCTCAAGGAAACTTTCTTTTGGGTCCAGTTCCAGTCCTACCTATACAGAACAATGCAGACGTGTCTTCTTATCAGCCACTTTTCCTGCTAAATGAAGTTGTTTGTGTCATGATTCAGGTGCACATTTAATCTCGTTTTGCGTGAAATAATTTCTGCAATGTGAACACATAGGAAAATTCTTTTTTAAGTACCTCCATGTGCGATCACAGATTGCAGAATCGGCTATAGAACAGCAACTGTGAAAAGCTGAGCTCATACAGGATTAATGATGTACTTGTAATATGTTTTTGTAGATATGAGTGGGTTTTGCTATTCTAGTAGGCAGATAGCAGCACGTCCCCCCCCCCCCCGGGTGTTCCCTCGGGAGGCCGTTTTGGTCAAGTGAGCTGAATATTTATGTGCCAAAAACTATTAGTCTGTAACTGTAGAAGTTAGAAAAATTCATATTAATATTAATTTAAACCATTGAGACAAATTTTCACAAAGATCTCTATGTGACATAATAGTCATCCAGTGTTCCAATAGTACTATATAACTGATAATTGTGTATGGGCAGTGTAGGCGCCTGTCAGCGCTTCCCCTAAAGGTTGTCCAGATTGTTCCAAGCTCTCAGTGACTGCATCTGGTGCTGCAAGTGTCAGGTAGCTTTCACTTTAACTAACAAGTCCATATGAGCCACTATTAAACATAATGAATTGGAATGTTATTGTTAAGGTTAATGTGCCTTTATGGCCTTTATCGGTAGACTTTCAGCTTTCTGTGTGGAGCTATGGCCACTTAACAGTTCAGTGTAATAGAATGACAGCATCTATCTGTCTGTCTGTCTATATCTATCTATCTATCCATCTGTCCCTCCACCCACCCACCTGTTTACATGTTCATATTCTCCTCAGGTGCTCTGTCAGTTGCTGACAACATACTTTCATTCAGAGGGGAACTGCAAGGTGGAGTTGAGCAGAGGGTGAGAATCCATACTAAAGTAGGGAAGGGAAACATTTGTGCTGACTTCAGTGAATGCTGTGCTGCCAGTCTTCTTGTGACATGACCATTCCTTTGGGTAATGCACCATTTTAAAGTAGCCAGTTCGCACAGGGGTCAGTCTGAGACTGACGAAATGGGAAATGATGATTAGATTAGAAGTGATGTCATAGTCATGAAAACGGTACAGATGCAGCACGTGTCATATCTACCTTATCACATTCAGTAATTGCCACCTAGCTCGAGGGCTGTCATGGCGCCCTCAACAGCATGATTGACAGACAGGGCAGAGTTGAAGAATGAATTCATGACTTACACTGAATGCAAGAGGCTGTGAGAAAGGAGTGGCAGACACACTGTGTGACAGACAGGAGGGCTACTTCAGAGAGTGAAAGTAAACATTTTACACTTAACGAAAGGAAGTGAAAATCCAAAATGGAAAAACATCTGTGACAGAACTACACCAGTTTTTGTTGTGAGACGACGTGTGTGTGTGAGCGACAGTGGAAGAATCCATGTGTGTTATGTGGCTCCAAGACCCTAAAATGTGTTTTTTATTAAATGCAATAACTCTCAGTTGGTACGAAAATAATGTAATCAAAACAAATGGCTCATAGCTATTTTGCCCAGGAGCAAATAATTTCCTCTATCTCGTTGCTCAGCAACAGGGAAATCTTGATTTTATGTACAGGACTTCTGAATCCAAAACTGATGAGTGACTGGAAGCTAAAAGCAACCAAGAGAGGAGACAGAATCCAAAAGCTGCAGCGCACAAAGCAGAACGACTGCTGTTGTTAGTTTGCCGTGACTGTCGTGCATAGTAAAACTTTGAATTTCTCCTTCATCGTTTCTTTAATTGATTTTCCTCGACATCTCTCTCTCTCTTTATATGTTTTATCAGGCATATGTTGTTGCAGAAAAAGTTATAGAAAATTCATTTTGATACATTAATATCATGCTTTAACTGTAAACTTAGTTTTGAATTTGTGTGTGGAGTCTATAAGGTCTAAGAATATCTGAATAAGTAGCAAGAGAGTGCAAGTGGGAGAGAAAGAGAGAGAATAAAAGAGAGAGAAAGAGCAGAGGAGGGTAGAGAGAGGCTGAGACACTCGTGCGAAAGGGGAACGGTGAGAAAGCAGAAGTGATTTCAGCGTCCTAGCAAGTTGTGCAGTCTAATCGAGGGGGAAGAGAAAGTAGGTGAGTGTGAGCCACTGGCCCTGGGGAGCGGCGAATTCATCCGACTGGGGGATTAGCTGAAGCAGAGTGGAAACAAAGCAGGACCTTATAGTTGGAGTCTCTTCTTCACGGTCAGAGCAGCTGGGAGCTCAGATTGACTGCCGGCAGCGGCAGGGTACCTGGGCCTTTGCTACTTCCCTTGAACGCCTTCTGAATTGTCAAGAGGGAGCAGTTTGGACATTAACACAGCTGCTAGCAGACACATACCTTCACACGCAATTTCCACAATTTCCACACTGCAGCTATGGGGACAGTGAGTGAACTTTGCGTGTCGAGCCTTCAGACATTCTTGTGTCCAGCTGTGAAGCCAATCCAGCAAGCGCCAGGTAAAGTCTGAACGTGAGCCTTGAATTGCATGTTTGTTGGCCTGTGTGCCGAGACCCTCTGGCATAAAACACTCTGTAATTATTTTAAAACCATGTGATAAGCCTATGATAGACTGGATGGATGGATGGATGATTACAGTTAGTTTTCAGTGACTTCTCTCTATATAACCTGTTGATTGACAGTGTCCATGTGCTTGTACGTGTTTGTGTGACCACTGGCACAAACCATTGGACAGAAATAGAGGGAGCTTCTTGTGGCTTAAGGAGGCTCTCTCATTTAGTACAACTTAAAACCCTGCCCTGGGCACATGCACTGGGAGAGAGCTAATAATATTACGTAGGCTACCTACAGAGCAAATGCAGTCTTCAGTAGTAGTTCCCCCTGGTACATGAAAACCCTGAAACCTCAGGTAAAAATGCAGCTTGTCAAGCGCATATTCTCTGCATTGTGACGGGCTCATGTTTGTGCTCCTGTCCTGCCTGGCTGTGCATGTAAACATCTCTTCTTGCCAATAGTTGCTTTGTCCTTCCATAATGTGGATGGCGTTGTGTTTACTGGCTATCACATCCTAAACCACGACGAACATCTCTCTGTGTTTCCCAGTTTAATTACAGATGGAGGAGCAGGAAGGAGTGAGGCTGGCTAGTGTTGGTATCTTTCGGAGTTTGTTTATGCTCACCATCTGTCTCCATATTTCCAGATTTGTTCTTTCATTCTGTAGTCATAACAAGATCTGAATAGTGATGTGTGTGTTTGTGGTCTATTGTTTTGGATTGGTTGTTAAGTATCGCTTCATTACTTTGCACTGTGGGGTGGTGTTCAGGTTCCCATTGCGAGTGTTGGCAGACAGTGTTGAATCAGCTGACTGAGTGTGTATCAAGGGGAAGCAATGCTGTCTCAGCCATTTCAAAACACCTGAATCAGCACTAGGGACGTGAATGAAAAGAGAACACTTTTGTGTTGTGGTTATTCAAGAAGGAAAGTCATCTGGATTGCTGTGGTGTTAGCTGAGAATTTCTGTGAAGCAAACTAAATTGACTGACATATTTGGAATTGAAAAAATATCATGAGTTCTAGATAAATGCTGGTTTGTCATTTGGATATTTAGCTTCCAGTCCAATTTGTGGGCTGAAAATGAAGCGATACATTCCCAAAGGCTTCACTTCAGTTGTCAACCGCCTGCAAGTGTCAGATTTTTTGCTTAAACTGTAATAAAAACATTCATATTTTGTTGGCAGCCATTGCATTTTGGGCCTGTAGAAGTGGGAAGCAATTGGACAGTGTACTGTAAGTGTTAATGTTTCTGTTTTTGATCATGAATCATGCAAGTGATTCATGTATGACTCATCTAATGCTTGTCCAGCAAGTTCATATTGGGCCTGTAACACTATTAAATCACAATGCTGTTTGACATGAGCTGTTAGAGAAAACAAGTGCAAATATTAGTAAGAAAAAGAAACACTTCACTGGCTGTCCTCATGTAGTGATGTGCCATTTCCCAAAGTGTTTATGTTTCACAAGGGATGCAGACTTCTCCTTTCCATCTAAATGAATTAAGCACATGCACAGTGTTATGTCAGTGCCCTTTCCAACTTTAAATGTTTCTGCGAGTCTAACATTCACAGTCACTGTGAGTGTGACTCAAGATGCACAAGGCTTCACAGAACACAGGCTGAGAGAGATGGCAGGCAGTGCACGGCTTTAAGTAGACATGATAGTAATTTAGCTGATTAATAACAGTGCTGCTACAAGGTTTGGGGAAGAGCGATGCGGGTGTGCCAGGCCTCTCTGACATGAGAGTTGTGTGCATGGATAGATCATGAGGCAATGGGTCCCTGGCTATAAACATGTAGAAGGCCCCCACCCCTCTGGAGCTAGACCCACAGATCAAATAAGAATAGTTATGGTAGTTTTGTGCCTGACAGAACTCTTTTTCTTTAGTAATGCACAGTTTGACATGTTTTGGATGTTGAACCAGGCAGGCTCTGCTAGTGAGCTGCTGCAAAGAGGAGTGTGTGGGAATCCAGACAGAGGCAGATTAAATCCACACAGCTGTAAGTCCTATTGTTCCATGAATGTGTCGATGTTCTGGCTTCAAACTCATCAAGCTTTCATGCCTTCGTTAGTCAGACTCATGCATATTCAGTTACAGATGAACACTTGCTTCATCAGGTTGTGATAGCGCTTGTTGAGGTGGCCATGTCAGTGGCAGAACTGAATGCATCCCTCCATCCATTATCTATATCTCTTATTCCTGAATAGGGTCACGGGGGGCTGGAACCAATTCCAGCTGACATTGGGTGAGAGGCAGGGCCCACCCTGGACAGGTCACCAGTCTGTCACAGGACTGACATGTAGACAAACAACCACACACACATACACACACACACACTCACTCCTAAGGGCAATTTAGAGTCACCAGTCAACCTAAGCTGCTTGTCTTTGGACTATGGGAGGAAGCTGGGGTACCTGGAGAGAACCCACACAGGCACAGGGGGAACATGGAAACTCTACACAGAAAGGCCCTGGGTTCGAACACGAAACCGTCTTGCTGTGAGGCTACAGCGCTAAACTGAATGCAAAATACTGTGACTGTAGCCTGAAGAAGAACGACAGGCTCTTAGCTGCCCCACTTTACCAGGAGCTCACTGCATTTCACATCCTCTTTCTGAAACAGATTTTTGAAGTCACAACAATAATTTTGTATGTACAGTATATTTGTGTATAAATGTAGGGGAGCTCTACTGTAGGCTGCTAGGGAAGGTAAGTTGTCTTGCATTTAAACATATATAAAGAACATGTCACATATAATAAAGCTTTATCTACTGTATATGCTTTATATTTCCCACCCACACCCACATTAGAAAGGTGACTTGAGAGCTAGATGTGACTCATGTCAGTAATTTATCGCTCCAGTCTGCACCCACTCTCAACACGAAAATTATAGGATGGATCGATCCAAAGGTCTCATTACCTCTGACTGCACCTGCAAAAGGAAAGCAATGGTTTCAAAATCATCTCATGCATGGAGCAACAAAACTAAATCCACTGCTTATGCCAAAGGATGTCTAACATGCATGCAGTAATCTTAATGGAAAGAGAGTCATTTTTCATGCCTGGAGTTTATTTGTTGCAAGCTGTTGACACCAACTTCCAACTAGCCACATGTTTAGAAACATCACATTACAAATATGTGAGTAGGTGTGTAATTGTGTCTGGCCCTTGGGGGTGTTTTAGAGATTGCCTCAGTCCAGATATCATTTATGAACTCACAGTAAGTTCAATTCCTCTACTGTACTGCACTGCTTCTTTATTCTAAAGGTAGAACCGTAATTACTTCAAATGATCAGCAGGGGTCACTCTTAGGCTACAGGTTATTTTTGGCCATGTAATTTGGGTCAATCAAACCACAGGCTCAAACATATAGCTTTGCTGTTCTAGCCAAATTAGCAATAATGGTATTCCTGTAGTTTCAGGAATGAGCCGGTTGTGCAGTTGCATTTGAAGTGATGATTGTGGAGAGTTGGAAGCCGTACTGGAACCAGTCATGTGTCCAGGCAAGTATCCCTATTTGTATCATCTGACTGTATTCGGAGGGTGTTTTCTAAAATTTGAGAACATTTCTGCTTGAGTTTGGAGGCTGCAGCATTTTATTCAAAAGCCTGCATAATAAATGTGAAGAGTTTGTACCATATGGACCTTCACAAAACATCGGGGACCTAACTGACCAACACTATCGACTTGCATTTTTGAGGATCCAGTGTTTTTAGAGCTTGGCTAACACCAGGGGCTAAAAGTCCAGAGATCTCAGGCTCTGCTGCATAAATTTTGACTATTGTTTTTGGTAGTTTGTCTCTCACAAGACTCACATTTATAAAAAAAATGGTTACTTACACCAAATACACCCTACAATGAGATGCTGGCTTGCTATTTAAAGTCATCTTTGAAATTTAGTTAGACAGTCAACCACATTGTAAAAGACATGATGGTACATTTACAGTAAATTACTGGCAACCAGTTGCACAATAACAGCTGTATATTGTGCTTATATAGTAAGTTACTCATCAATTACTGTTACTATGCTGCAGCTGTAGATGTGTTTTGAAGATTGACTTGCGACACACAGGCCTAAGCACGTTGCAAACCAGAGTTTCTTATGAGGATTAGCTCTGTTACATACAAACATATTGTCCAGAGTTGCCCTTTCACACGTGTACCACACAACAGGAAATAGTCCAAGTCAGCCGCATTCTCACCTGCTGGAAATACCCTGTTTTGTTTAAACATTGGGGCTCCTGGATGGAGCACACAGGAAGCGCGACATGATGTGGTCACGTAGCCAGTTTTTAATTTGGTCATAAACAACCAAGTCTCTTGCTGTTTCTTAACTTTGTCTAACGAGTCTGGCGCCAGCTCTTAACAACAGAAGTTCCTGAGTCACGTTTTGTCTCCAGTTGGATATTTTTGTTGCTGTCTTCATTGTAAATGACTATTCATCTTCACCATCGGATGTTTGTATTCTTCTGGTTTTGTGGCGGTCACATGATACCGGTCCCAGCGAACATTGGGCGAGAGCCGGGGTTACACCCTGGACAGGTCATCAGTTTGTCACAGGGCTTATACTTAGAGACAGACAACCACACACACCCACACTCACTCCTAGGGGCAACCTAAGCTGCATGTCTCTGGAATGTGGGAGGAAGCCGGAGTACCCGGAGAGAACCCACGCAGGCACAGGGAGAACAAGCAGACTCTGCACGGAAAGGCCCTGGTCCGCCTGGGCTCAAACCCAGAATATTCTTGCTTTGAGGCAGCAGTGTTAACCACTGTTACACTATGCCACCCACATTCATGAACAGAAACCTCTTTATAGTCTATAATCCAGTATGACGTTAATTAGATGTTTGCATAAACACCTTATTAACATAACATTGCTTGAGGATTGTTGTACATGACTGATTGTGTAGCTCAGGAAGTTGAAGACAACATTACACTATGC